TTTGTTAATGATTATCGAGATTCCGCTGTAACGTGATTAGTAATTGGCAAATTATCAATTAAAAGCGGTCATGGCACACGTCCAAGCAAATTATTACCCCATTAGGTTGACTCCTTTACCTTAAGCGCTGTAGGAAACATATCTTGACTGTTGGCTTAAAACATTTTTGAAGCTAGTGTTATGTTTAATTGCCAACCATTCCAGAAAGGGTGATAAACGAGGTGAGAGCGCAGTTTTGAAACTGATAGCTTTAATTACACGAGATTAAAATATGCTTCAGTCAATTTAACTGCTTGGTGAAGCAGAGTATTATTTCAATAGTTGCGTGTACTTGCCTATAAAAATAAGTTTGTTATTTCGTTTCGTTTAACAGGTGTAGATCCAGACCAAGTAAAAGTGCGTTATTTGACATCCGGACCATTTTCTCCGTCATCTGACTGCGAGAGCTTTAGCGTGAAAATCTCGTGGGAAAAGCCAACTTTTAACTACAGCACGCTGGTTTCCTACAAGATCTCTTACCTCACTGGAAGGAGCAATGGCACGAAAGTCGAGTTACCAGTAAGCTGTACAGTCTCTATCTTATCTATAGAGTAATTAATCCTTATCTATTCATGGCGCTTATTAATAATTTAAAATTGTGGTCATTACAGGCCCTTTTACAGTGGAAGACATATTAAATAGTTTCCGCGATAACGTTAAACGTAAAATTAAAGTATCGTGTATCTTCAGTGGAAAAAAAAAACGCTTTTCATTTTTCTCCATAAAAATGACCTTTGAACTATGAGCTTTCGGAAAGAAAGGAGAAAATTCTAAAAGAGTAAATTTTCAAGGAGAACATGAACACAGCCGTTTTTCACAAGAAGTAAAAATTTCTTATTGATTGACAGATAATTGACGTTTCTCAAAACATCATCTCTGTGTGGGGACTCTTCGATTTCAGACAAATTTTGTCAATTTTGACAACCTTTTGGGGAGCTTGGTAGTTCTAGCTAAAACTTGTTCCTTTGAAAGTCGTTTTTTTTTTTGTGGAAAACAGTTCTGTAACTTTTTACAGCAATTTTGAAAATTTTCTGTTCCTTTTTAATGCAATCGAACGAAAGAAAACCCCATCACGCTTTTTAAGCGTTTAGTTTCCTGACCTCATTGAAAATAAATAAAATACTCTCAATATAAAATCTCGTTAAGTTGGAACTTTAGAGAGATGATTTTATCTTTCCAGTTTAGATTTCGTGGAAAATTTGGTGATTCATTTTTCGGTAAACCTAATAAAATCCTTGAATAGCCATATCTGCAAAACTTAATTTGACATGGGCTTTAGGGTATTTGTGATTTGATCGTGAGGCGCTACTACTTACCGTTTCGTAAACATTTTTACCCGTCGTTGCCATCATTGGCAACCAAGCCTTTCAGAATAAACGATGTCATATCTGCTTTAATTTAGGCCTGGACAGGTTAGAAACTGGTTATAATTTGTTTATGGAGTAAAACGCACTCACCAAATGCTTAATTGTTCATATTAATACTGGTTTGCTTGCGGTTAGCTTTCATTTGATGGTTGGGGCATCTCTGCCATTAATATTTAAGAGAGTCACGTTTCATAATTAAATTTTGCGGAGTTTTGGCGAATCAACCTGGTAGTGTAGTAGTATGAGGGATATTAGGAAACACAGGTTTNACCTCATTGAAAATAAATAAAATACTCTCAATATAAAATCTCGTTAAGTTGGAACTTTAGAGAGATGATTTTATCTTTCCAGTTTAGATTTCGTGGAAAATTTGGTGATTCATTTTTCGGGAAACCTAATAAAATCCTTGAAGAGCCAGATCTGCAAAACTTAATTTGACATGGGCTTTAGGGTATTTGTGATTTGATCGTGAGGCGCTACTATTTATCGTTTCGTAAACTTTTTTACCCGTCGTTGCCATCATTGGCAACCAAGCCTTTCAGAATAAACGGTGCCATACCTGCTTTAATTTAGGCCTGGACAGGTTAGAAACTGGTTATAGTTTGTTGATGGACTAAAACGCACTCACCAAATGCTTAATTGTTCATATTAATACTGGTTTGCTTGCGGTTGGCTTTCATTTGATGGTTGGGGCATCCCTGCCATTAATATTTAAGAAAGTCACGTTTTATAATTGAATTTTGCGGAGTTTTGGCGAATCAACCTGGTAGTGTAGTAGTATGAGGGATATTAGGAAACACAGGTTTCGGGTTCAATACTGGATGGTTAACCACAAATTTTCTTTTTTCTTTTATTTAGTGGAGAAAAAGTCATTGATAGTTAAAAAAAAAATTCTTAGTAACGCGAAAATGTCATCGACCGTTTACTAAACGGATAACTGCTGAGGCGCTGCGTCCAATGTACTGGAGACTCCGCTGAAGGGACACGGTCACCATCAAGTAGTTTGAAACTAAGTGGTATTTCTTGACAAATTAAACAATAACAAAAAGTAGGTCGGTTTCAAAGTTGAAAAAATTGGTCGTGGGACGATGGTATATGAGAGTTTGTTATATTTTTCAAATCGAAGTTACTGGTTAATAGAAACACCTTAACCCCAACCAAAGAAAATGAATCAAATTGTCAAAGAAGCGAATTACAAAGACTATCAGGCACTGCAATCTTTTTTTATAAGAACAAATTTTATAAGAATATCGAGAATGAAATTTGCGGTGTTTAAAGAATAAACCCGAGGCTAAGGTTTTGAAAAAAGAATTATTTTGTGTGTGGAAAATTTGTGAATACAAAACTAAACCAGCTAACTAACTAAATTGGGTGGAATCCGTCCTCCTCTAAAAAATAGCCAAAAAACACTAAAACAACAACAACAACAACAACAACAACAACTAAAACAGTCTAGCAGGTATGTTTGATACTGATAACATTTCTTCAAGAAGTTGTGCGTGTCAAATCAGGCTTTACAAAAAATACGATATAATTTAAGAATGTGCATAAAAATAGTTTTCGTCCTAAAATCACAGGTCAATGAAAATATTCTGGCTGTGCAGAAAATAAAACCAACACTCTTATAAAAAAAAAAAAAAAAGAAAACGAAAGCGGCCTTTTCTTTGATGTTATGTTGTTGCTCATAATTCACAACCAAAATCTTTTAAATTTCAGTCATAGTTATTAAGGATTATGTTATCGATCGGTTCACAGTGCAGCTTTAATATTTTACTTTATGTTTACTGTCCAGCCGTCTTCACCCCACTTCATCATATCCGGCATATTGCATGGCGAGGGAGTTGGCTATCGGGTAAGCGAGTGAGAGTACGTCTCAGAATAGTTTTGGAAACAATGGTATAGATATTACAACCTTTATTTCTTTACTAATTTTTATTTTGCCTTTAAACAGCTAATAAATTATACTTTGTTACATTCATCCTTTCCATAACATTTTGTATACGTTGTTTTATCCTTCTTTCTCGTGTTTGAATTTTTGTCTTTTCTAATTATTGCGCCCAACCGGGTACTGTCTCGCCGTCTCAATGATTTGTAATTTGCCAACATCAATCAAAAAAAATTTGAAAGTTTGTAAATATATTTCCAAATATAATTTTGCGTTGTCACAAACTTTGCTTAAAATATCTGAAAGATTAAAACCTTTCTTTTCGTGTTTCTTTCAAGGTTATTCCCATATACCAACATGACTGGATCCAAGGAATTGCAGTTCCTGGAAATGCGACTGCACCTGGTAAGGATACAAGTCAATAAAAGTAATATCACAGACAGATTGAGTAACTCGTTAACTAAGTTCATGCGTAGACTCGGTCTAATATCAACTTGGATGTCGTTTGTCAAGAGAAATTGCCCGTAAGATCTGTTTAAACTATGCATTGTTGTATTTTCCAATCTTAACAATCTTTGTTCTTATTTTAGTTTTACATTAACTTTGTGCTTCTTTTTCAGTCTTAGTAAACTAAAACATTTTCAAGCGCTTCTTCCAATTTTTATTTCACCAAAAAGAGTGAAGCGAACAAACAAACTAAGGAAATCATTATGAACAGAATATGCAAATAAGTTTTTTTTCTGATCAATCCATTTATTATTTTCAGACAAAGAGCGTCCCGCTGATCCGCTATCCACCGCAGAGTTGGCTGTGCTTGTTGCAGGAATCTTGTTAGCTGTACTGATTGTCATATGTGTTAGTTTATGGTGCTACAGAGGGAGACAAAGACAGAGGAAGGCAGAGCGTGTCTCCGGGTAAGGTGTTAATCATGATACCATTAGTACATTTGAGGTCTCCTTGATAAATGTTAAATTAATCTTTCATTCGATAAGATAACATTTTCAATATTATTCACCTTAGTAATCCTAGTAAACCATCATTGGCCCTAGGATGTACATGTGTCTCTTCTTTTAACTATGCTGTGTACAAAATATTGGATTCGTGCTGCGGGAGTAGCCAACGTATGCAAGACTACATACACAAATAAACGCCTAAAGTAGAGCATTGTGGGAGTGCTTTTTAACTTAATTAGCAGTATCGAAGTAATAAAAACACAATTATCTACGTTACTTCCTGCAGCAAGAACGCGTTAATGATTGATCATTGGGAGGTAGATGGAGACCTACTGACTCTGGAGGAAGAGATCGGAGAGGGTGCCTTTGGTAAGGTGTATAAGGGAGTCCTCAAAGCGCTAACTACGCCCTCACGGAAAATGTTCATGAAGTTTCCAATAAATGCGATTCGTAAAAATGAAGTCAGGCAGACTGACGGATTGACTGTGGCGGTGAAAATGTTACACGGTGAGTTACATTGTTTATTCAGATTTGGGAACCTGAAGAAACGTCTCGAGTTGATGAACAAAAGTCAACCAATGCAATTTTTACTGACACTGTGAGGAGAAGAACGTGGCCGTTGGCTTTTTACGGCAAAATGCCATTATTATTCTTTTTTATAAGCAGCTACTTGTGTAGGGTTAAAAATTAAAGTAGTGTGTAGCTTGGTTCTGCAAGATCCGTATTGACCTTTGTTTAAGAAGAGAACTCTAACTGTGGAGACCTGCCGCAATTAAAAGCTACTATTTCTCCTGCAAATCGCAAACAAAGTTACACTGTCAACCAAAAAAAATTAACCATTTCTATGCCATCTGAGATGATTTCATTGCTGTAGACAAACTCAGCAAGGGAACTAATTGTTATACAAAAGAAAATAAGGTATTTTTGTGAAGGACAGATTAGCTTTTGTCAGTAAGTCGTTGCCCGTCACTTTCAAGAGAGTTTACATCAGTGGGGAACTTAAGCTTTGGACGGCTTAACAACACATAGATTGCAATGCAGGTGCTTTATTGACAGCACTCTTCTTCAATCGAACTCAGCTCTTCTTCTCCCGAGTAATTCTCAGCATGGTGTTTTACAAAAACTGTCAATTATTTCTCGAGCCAAGAAAATTAAATTAAATTTAAAAAAAAATTAAAAGTACCATGAAAGTATTTTTTATTCTTATTTTTGTTTTTGTAGATATGGCAGACGGTGACCAAAGAAGAGAATTTCTTAAGGAAATTCAACTCATGAAGAACATGAGATCACACAAGAATATTGTTAACATGCTGGGATGCTGTACTGTGCAAGAACCAATGTTCTTACTGGTTGAATATATTCCGTACGGTGATCTTTTACATTACCTCCGAAAACGACGGGGAAAGGTAAAACGTAACACATGTCTATTAAATATATTTAATTCACTTGACTAGCCCTTTTTAGAAGTTGTGTTTTGAGCCACGCTCTTTGGCAAGTCCATGGGACTCCCAATGAAATTTCAAACTGGCTTCCTTATTTGGTCTTCTTGGCAATTTTCGTTATCATAATTTAAGAAATCGGTTTTACTATTTTCAAATTTCAAGAGAAAGTGATGGCAAATATAATGAACAACAAGATACAATTAAACCGTGATTAGCGCTAAACGAAATGTTTGAAATTCAAGGTTCAAAGGTTCAAACTTTCTTAAACACGCTGAAAACAAGGTTTGCTTTTTTTTACAGGCTCGGCGAAACGACGAAATTTATGTCGATGGCACTAAGGCAGAAATCGTTCACAATCGAAATACTCAGATTGTTTCATTTGCGCAGTCTTCGGACGAATCTGGAGTACAAAACAAAGGAATGACCAAAGAAGATGAAGCTGATGACCAGGAGGATGAAAGGGAGGAGTTACTTACTCCAGGAGATCTTATGGCTTTTGCCTGGCAAATAAGTCAAGGAATGGTGAGATATTTTGAGCGTTACAGTACATTACTCTGAACATTACAGCGCAAGTCCCGTGTTTTGCCAGGTGCAGGTGCTTTAAAACTAACATCTTGAAAAAGTACGATGAACCAGTTTTTTCCAACCTTATTATTGTTGCAGTTGGTGTTGCTGGCATTTTTTTTTTTTTTAACGATTTCGATACCCTTGTGGTCTTTTTATTGCCATTAAATTTTAACTCGATTATGTAACTGTTGCAAATACCTCTGATGGCTGCCCGGTCTCTCTTTAGCCCATTACGGATATTTCGTATCTTCCAGCTGATCGGAGACGCACTATGATTAAGAGGTCCATACTTCACAGTGCGGCCCGCTAAAATGTGAAGCTGTTCTTGTTGCCAAAATTTCTCTGAATTTATCGCCAATTTTTCTAAACATGCTCCGTGTAAGTAAAAATGTAAATCGTTTCGTTTTTCTAAAATCTGCTGACGACTTAGCAATGATTTCGAATTATGGGCTGTAAATCGTAGGTATAAAGCCCAAACCGTAACATACCGTACGGCCCTCAAACTCGGTTTGTAGGCAGTATCTAATATAATGTTTTTGTGAAATGTAGTTCTTCAATAACTATGGGCGCAAATGAAGTTGTTGCAGTTGTTGTCAGTTGATGATTATCAAAATGCGTTCACAGGAGTACCTAGCAAGGAAAGGCTTCGTGCACCGTGATTTAGCAGCCCGAAACGTTCTCGTTGGTGAGCACAAGATGGCAAAAGTGGCGGATTTTGGCCTGACTCGCTATGTGTATGAAGAGAAAGTTTACCATTCAAAGAGAAACAAAAAGCTTCCACTGAAATGGATGTCAATTGAAGCCATCTTTGACCAAACGTTCACAACTCAAAGTGACGTGTAAGTAGAAACTGCTGTTGTAATTGACAGCCCTTGATTGTTTGTTAAAAATTTAAGAAGTTAACAACGCATTTTTTTGGTTACTTTATAGGTGGGCTTTCGGCGTTCTTTTATGGGAGTTGGTCACATTAGGTAAGAAAGACATTCTTCTAAAACGTCTTTTGGCGGGAACAAACGCATGTAACATACGAAGATTATTAATTTTTTGCAATTCGATTAGTTCCATGGAATCGAATCTTGCACAACAAAGATTAACCAAAGTAGCAGCTCTTCTGAAAGGCACTTGGTTACAGTATGCATTGTAAGCTGCAACATTTGTTGTTATTTTTCTCTTTCTCTCTTTTCTGCGTATCGCGAAGTAATTGGTGAATCTCTTTTATCCAGGTGGGACTCCATACCCTACAATAAACAACAGAGAGTTACTTCGTCTCCTAAAAGCTGGTTACCGAATGGAAAAACCAGATATTTGTAATGATGAAATGTAAGTCAGAGTCTATTTCTATAAGTGCTCTAGAATGCGTTAATAGCTTCTCTCAAGGAGCAAAGTAAATCTTGGTAGACATGTTAAGGCCATTTACTGTTTTTATGCTTGTGTTAACCTAATCCACGCGTGAGGAATTCCTAGTTGCGTCAATTCTTTTATGTTGTTGTTAAAAATAGGATTCGTGAAATAAAATTTGTATCATTCAAAGAAAATTTAGAACAATAAGCCCTGGTGTACCTGATCGAAAAAAATAATGCAAAAATCGAATATTAAATTACTATTACATAAAGTTTTTGCACTGATTAATAACAAACGCACATTGACATTGTATTAGGTTCAGTATGATGACGGATTGCTGGATGGAAAACCCAGACGACAGACCAGACTTCACCCAAATACGAGAGAGACTGGAGGAGATGATGCAGAAGGACAATCCGTATTTGGATTTCAGCGTTTTGGATGAATCCAGGGATTATTATAAAGTGCCTTCCTTCAACAGTTTAAATGAGGAATCTGCAGATGATGAACTGTTTGACACAGAAAGCGCTGAGCTTTTAAAGAATGGAAATGACAGCAATAGTCTTGGAGAGGGGAAAACTTCTGAAGATTCTTACAAAGATGGAACAGCTCCATTGTCAAATTCCAACCAGGGTCTAGAGATGGACCTGGAAATTGATCCTGTTGATGTGAACAAGATTGATTTTGACAACAGTTCTCCTCGTGATGAAGATTTCCGTGATCGTAAAAATGTAAAGGTGAATATTGAAGCACTTGAAATGGCTTTATACCGCCCAGGCAGAAGAGGGATTGTGCTCTAGGATGAAGCTACTGAAGCTGAATACAGAACCCAGGATAACAACTTACGAAATAGACAAACCGTGGAATGTACAAGCAGACTTGAATTAATAGCCGAACTAAACCAATTTCTCTAAATTCAGGGCAGCAAAAGCTACTCATAGAAGGTTCATTTCTCTTTTTACATTTATGGTGCAGTTTTATGATTGCTGGTTACTTGCTTATTATTTGGAATCAACTAACTTACTGATACATATACATTCTCACACACAGCTGGGAGCCATGCCAAGCCAGACCACGCAGCATGACTTTTATTAATATAACAACTATATATATAACTGTCTTACAACGGCACAAAAAAAGTGACAAGAGAAAAAATTCACTGCGATTTAAATAAATTCGCTGCAACTTAATAGACTTTTGAAATACTTCATGGGTGGGTTGGTGGGGCATGTCAGGCAATGGCGGATGGCAAAACAAAAACTGAACCTTGTACAAGCCCCGTGACCTGAACCCCCCACCCCCACCCCATACAGGTGTACTCAGACTCCCAGCTACGCGTGAGAAAAACGTTTTCCGTTTCCTTCGTTCCTCAGCCAGCAGAAGACTTTACTTTTTGTTTTACTTTTATATCTCAGCTTGTGGTCCAACCTTTCGTGAAGCTCCACTGATGTGATTAGTGAATCTATACTGAATGGAAGTTTGCAATCAAACCCCACAAGTTTTTTGTTAGTTAGTTAGTTTGTTTGTTTGTTTGGTTTGTTTGTTTCCTGTTTTGTTTTGTTTTGTTTCGTTTTATGTTTTTGGTTTGTTTGTTTTTTTATAGTCAATGGTGCAACGGTTTAACGATGTACTTACTCGATCAGATGTAATTAACACAAACAGGAAACACATGAAACACCTTTGTAACAAGATCAAATGTGCTTTGCGATTTCCACCAGAGGGAGCCCTGCTTCATTAATCATTATATACATCAAAGGGGTTATGGGCTTATAACACTAAATGTAGCTTTTATATTGAAGAAAGCGAACGAAGTCTTAATTGTATTTCATCGGAAAGAATTGTTTATTGTTTTCTCGTAGCCTGATGAACTAAGGTGTCTCGATAAAATTTTATTACTATTCAGTCTGGTTATTACATAGCATTTTCAATCAGCTTTTTACCAGCCTTTCGTCAATCGGTTGAAAATGTGAAAATTACAACGGCTAAGGAAAATCCCTTTTAAAAAAAATCGTTCGTGATCGCCATAAAGAAAATCAATAAAACTGTTAAGACATTTAAAAAACATCTTAGCTTCTAAACACATTTGGTATTATTTTGAAGCAAGTTTAGCAGAAAGTGTTCGTTTTCTTTTAGTAATTATTCGAAAGGAAAAATACATAATTTTTCTTTATTTTCTACTTGCCATTTTTATATCAAATCCATGGTCTATGGCAAATGGAAAATACCACAATAAACGGCTTTGAACCCCTTGCACAGAAAATTTTTTAGTTCATACTTTGCCATGTCTTTTGATACCATGATTGTAGCATCAACTGCTGATAAAGAGTTGTTATAATGACTCGTCAGCGACAACAGGGACGACCTTTTAGACATACCTGCAGAGTTTAGCGGCTTACGGTGAGGTTACCTCTAGCAAACTAGCGGTAAGCTGCAAAGAAGTAATTGCTGTTGGAAAAAATAAGTGAACATGGCGTTAATGAGAGTATATATCCCATAATGTAAAGTAAATAAACGAAAAAGGAACTTAAAGTACATGTAAGTTATATCATTGGTCACGACAATTAAAACGAAGGTGAACTGACAAGAGAAATCAGCTGCTTCCGGTGTGGAAAGTTTCTTTTAACTTTGTATGGGAAGGGAACGTTGCGTAGATCGATAAGTCATACCCTATAGGCTGTACGCTGTAATCACAATTATAATAATACTCTCATGCCAATGAGTCATTATAATCGCTCACAGGCGAAGATTCTTTACAAGTCTTGCTTAACTCCGAACCAGTGCTGCATTGTCGAGTTAGGTGAGGAAGAACAGGGCTGATTAGTATTTATCTTCATACACCACCCGAAATTGTGTTCAGAACCATTTGTACCTGGAGTTCCATCAAATTGGCAGTTAAATAATCTGCTCTTGTAACTGTTTACTGTCCAAGATTGCCCAGGTAACTGTTTGGTCACAGCACTGCAGTTAGAGCACTCATTTCCCCGGATGTTTACGTATTCATACATCCGGCAAGTAAAATCCCAGCTGCCAAATATGTCGTGACCTTCCAGCTTGGCGCGTGCGTAGTCGGTATACTGCAGACCCTCCTTTGGGAAGTTACAGGTTGCTCGGAAGTGGGTTGACTGATTAGCAATGGACCGGATCTGTGGTAAGGCGCGGTGGCCTCATGGTTAGTGCGCTCGACTCCGGATCGAGCGGTCCGGGTTCGAGCCCTGGCTAAGGACATTGTGTTGTGTTCTGGGGCACGAAATTTTACTCTCACGGTGCCTCTCTCCACCCAGGTGTATAAATGGGTACCGGCGAACTTAATGCTGGGGGTAANAGCTCCGGCCTGATGGGCCACTTGGCTCGCATGCAGACTTTACCTTTACGTTCCAGCTTGGCGCGTGCGTAGTCGGTATACCGCAGACCCGCCGTTGGGAAGTTACAGGTTGCTTGGAAGTGGGTTGAGTGATTAGCAATGGACCGGATCTGTGGTAAGGACAGGCGGTAAGAGCTCCAGCTCACATCATTGTCTTCGTGATTTACAGGCTAATCAGCGCCAAACATTTTGTCGTTAAACAGAGCTTTATTAGCCAAGGAAAATGATTGTATCAACGCCCAAACGAATCCCGATTCTGACTCCATGTTGCAGAAAACAGAAAACGCTTGGTTCGCAGAATCAAAGATGAGGTACTTTCCTGATTTCGAAGCTCCGTTCTTGGCAATATCTTCACAGGTTCTTGGATGTTTAATCTTTTCACATCGCCGGCCTGTGTGCGTATCAAGGCAGGTACAGTTAAACCTTGCGTTGTGAGGGTCACAAATCTCCCGACATACTCCTCCGTTGACACAAGGATTGTCGCTGCAGCATTTGTTCGTACAGCCATGTTTCCAAAGGATGTATTTCCCTCCACCCTAACAGAAAAAAGTGAATTATTTTTTTGTATCTTGTAAACATATTAGAGGCAAGCTAGAAGCATATATTTTTTAACAATGAAGTGTTTCTGTCGAGGTCTGATGGTTGGCCGCGAAAATTTTGTGTTCTAGAGTATTTTCCCTGGAACGAAATATAAATGTAGATTTTAAGAACATGAAATTCGAAGAGCAAATTTTAGCCCATGCAGGCCGACAGAGACATTAAGTCCTCAATTGTCTATATTTTTTCCATTAAATTCACAGGGAGCATTGACTGTTCAGCTAAATTCACCGTGCGATACAACGCGAAGTTGATATTGTTGATTCAAATCATTGTAGGTTTACATATTAAGCAGGAATGACCGTACTACATTTGCACCTTACTCATCGCCTAAAATAATGCACACGGGAGAAGCCAAAAGTGTTTGTCGCCCGCAGAGCGACGACCTCAGGAAGCGAAGCTTGCCGGATGAGGCACGTGTTTCAGAATACGTTCGTAGGAGAAGAATTAAGATTGGGTGAAGTAGCTGCAGAATTGTTACGTTTTAAGTACTGTGCATATCACCAAGCTGGGGTCGGAAAGCAAATCCTTTTCATGGTTTCCAACCGTAAAAGAAGAAGAAATTTTGGCAGTCTATGAAGCAGTTGTCAATACTGGCGCAACAAAAACCTCAGAACTCGCCTTGGCTGTATTTACAAATAGGTTTTATTATTTTTAGATTTGAAGTTATCGGGTAACCCGACACAAAACTATTTGTTTACAATTGCAATTTTCGACAATTTACAACAACGTCGGCAAAGCGAGTCAAGTGTTTATGTTTAGAAATTAGCGAAATTAAAACAGTGAAATTCATAAAACCTATCTCAGCATGGATTCGAAACAGCAAAACTTTACTACTCCTGTTGAAGATATCTCACTGAAGCAAATGACAATTTTAGGTAACACGACGCCAGTTTCTACAACGAAGGGTCGCTATCTGTGAATCGTCCGGTCAACAACTTATAGCAAAAGTTGTGCGGACTGAACTACACTAATCTTTTCAATAGCTCAACGAATCAACCACTTTTTCCGCAATGTTTCAGACCGTTTCGTAGTTTCTCTAAACTGACATGAAACACGTCGGATTTCTCTTGTTGATCACCTAATAAATCAAGTGATTTTTCTTGCCCAAAGAATTATCAAGTGTGATAAAACGCCAAGGTTTTCTAAGTTCTGGGTGAATTTTAGAGTTAAAGGCAGCATTTAAAACTTTTTTGTTATAGTTTCACGAGATGTCTTCCTACAAGCTAATTAATAATGCGGTTCCGCTCTCTCTGTAAAATATGAGATTTACAACGCTTTTGAACTTTGCCAAATGACAAGGAGCCAGCATCAGGACACAACTACTGCTTTGAATCGCCATTACTTAAACCACTGGTTGCTAACATCATAAAATGTGGTTAATTATGGTCATCACTTACCATTGTGGCATTTTCCTCTTTCCCAATAAGTAGTTTCTCTCTTACAAGATAGCAAGATATCTCTTTGTAGAGAGGAGGGCTTTGGTCTTGTGGCCGTTTCCGGGAAGGCAACCGTTTATTCATATATTTTTTTCTTCCGAAAACTGTGTTCTGAAAAGACAAATAAGAAAAGTTATTAGATTTCGAGTTAAAGTGACATTTCGGGAACAAGTTGTCTTCAAAAGCCATATTGTTACATAGAAATGATGTTGCTATGGAAACTATTTTTAGTCACCGCTCAAATAGTAAAAGGGGAGACTTTGAAATGGGAGTGAGCCATCAGCTACATTTTCGGGGGCGATTTTTCAATGCAATCCATTTTGCAGATATGAGTAAAAACTCCAGGTCTCGGTTGGCTTTCAGCCAAAACACTCGTTATTTCAAAGCTGAGAGTTAAATCTTTGTCTAACTTCTCAAATGAAACTGCTAAAATAAGCAAAACAGCTTATGTCAACTGACAGATCAAGTGGAGACAACAAATTTCAAAACAGAAAATTGCAACATCTATTATTCAGGACGCGTCAAAAATTCCTCACCTATAGTTAATAATATTTCATTAGCTCCTCAAATCGACATTCCTGGTGCAATAGATGCAGCAGTGTAAATTGTTGTCATCTTCCTCCCGTAAAATACACGAGAGGTTCCTGAGCAAGAAGTAGAAATTGCCCAGGCATTATTGTGGCTATTGAGGACTCTACTGACCAGAGCTTTGGTAAAGTAATCACAAATATAAGTTTTCAAAACGCCTCAATTATGTTGGTGGCACATAAGGTAAAAGAAGTTCATGAAAAATCAACCGATGATTTCCACGATGCGGTGTATTGTTTTCTTAATCATTATATACCTAACTAAAAAAAAAAACGTTCTCGAGAGAAAAGAAATAAACCATAAACGATACGACTCGGTGAGTTTGTGGGAAAGTTTCGATGTAATACTAATTTTCATTCTTACACACCTTTTAGATGCATTAAAACGATTTACGAGATCAGGAGAACTGTATGAATTTACTACCTTAAGAATATTGAAAAAACAGCAGGACTGTTCGCATCGTCTGTAAATGTAAATTGTCCTTTGTTTTTTACGTTGGCTACTGTAAATAACACTCCTGTACGTTTCGAATTCGTCTTTAATTCTAAAGATTCACTTAAAACCAAAATAACAAATACAGAAATTAATAAATACGAACTTAAACTTAAATAAACTGAAAATACAACAATACGAAAAACAGCAAAAAATAGAAAGGAAAAACGAGATTGCTTACAAGATCTGTACGGCACTACGGAACTGACAACGACTGAATACAACTAAAAAAGTACAACGCTTTTAAACGGAATTTTGAACTACAAGAATAAACTTAACGAGGTTACGTGATAAACAATAGACCATTACATAACACGACGTGAAAAAACTAATTTGCATTTAAAACTGCACAAAAAAAGTACGCAAAAAATTAACCTTTAACAACAAAGACAAAACAAAAAAGAAAAGGCGACCAAAAACGGAAAAATGTAACTCTCGTGGCTACAGCTACCTTTAGGAAGGCATGGGCAGTTTCCGTGTTTTTCTAAATCACAACGTCGGGCAGCTGACCTGTAATCATTTAAATGCCAGGAGGAAACAGTCTTGAATATCCATGATCTTGCACACGCTTCTTTAGTCTTAATTCGCAGGGTTCAATATTTGTTTTATCGTTCGTTCACCGAGTTCGAAAATTTAAAGTTTCTCAGCTGAACCCCGTGTACAGAATGGTTTATAGCGGAGCTCCAGTGAGCGAAGCGAGCCAGCGGAGCACCATTGATAAGGAATTTTGGTTTAAACCATCAAGGCGAGAAAACTTGGTTATGACGTCAAAGTACGAGCGGACGTCCGTTCGTACAGACTGTCTGGGGGAAGGGGAGGGGAGACTCAAGGTAACTCGAACGGGGAAGCTGAAGAGTGCAATCTTTTCTTGGCTGGAAATCGCGCGTATGTCGCTTCTGAACAGCCCGCGTTTTTCTGCCAGGAAATAGAATGAGAATAGCATTATTATTTTGGAAGAGAGAGCATTTTTTTTAGCGAAATGGTTGTTCCCAAAAACAGAGGTTTTCCAAGATACAAAACTCATTTTCATTCAGTATGTCATCAAACGAAAGCGGAGTTGATTTTACGTTTTCAAGACAGGGTTTAACTGAAACAGAACGTGTCGAGTAGATGAGTACTATTTTTTCATTGTAGTTCGGCTTTTAGGCTTGGCTAAGTGTAGATATTACAATTTGCCAGTAGTTGCATCGTTTCCTGCTTATCAAAATTCGATAATAACATTGAATTTCACCGTGCCGTTTTTTAAATACAAGTACTTAAAGCTAAAATAAAGGGTATTTTAGTAGGTGACACTGTTGCTATGGTTACCTATTGTGTCACGTAAATGATGATAGCGTGTTCACCGATGATTGGGCAAGAGTGGTTATAATGGCCAATCAAAACATATGCTGGAAACCGTTTTGAGTCACTTTAAATCACTTTCTGACAGCTCGGAGAAGCGAACTGCCATTCTCTTTTATTTTTCACACAAGAACGTGGTTATAATTGCGCATGAGTAGTTCTTGATTTGTAGTTTTTGTGTATATTGTTTCCATTGAATTACTGATTACCCTAGCCTGTGTACATCCGCTGCTTACCCTACAAAAAATCGGGTTGGGGGGGGGNCGCTTTACACAGGCTATAATTAATCAGAAGTAAGAAAAAATGTAAAAAAAAATAGTTTAATAGGTGTTCGAAAAACAATATAATTACCAACTGCATTGGGATAAATATATTGCGTGAATTGATTTCTCAACATAAATAAGAATGACCTTCCGGACATACCGTACCCACCGAGTCTTCAATGTGTCTACCTGGTAAACTGGCGGTATAGTGTAAGTCACAAAACAGCCTTAATTTCTGAAGGAAGAAATAGTTGAACGTAGGGTTCATGCGAGCATCCCACAATGCAAAAACTAAAAACCAAAATGGAACTTGCAGCACAGTTTATATTATTGGTCACGGCAAACAAAACGAAGGTGACTTAACAAGTGAAATCAACTGCTTCCGGCGTGGAAAGGTCGTTTGACTTTGTATGGAAATAATCGACATTACACAGAAAGTAACATAGATTGATAAGTTATGCCATATGGGCTGTATGCTATGATATCTTTTATTACTTTCACAATTGTAGTAATAAGTTAATGCTGATGGGACATTATAATCGCTAACAAACGACTATCCTTTACAAGGTATGCTTAACTCCAAACCAGTGCTGCGTTGTCGACTTAGGCGATGAAGAACAGCGGTGATTAGTATTTATGGAAATATACCGCCCGAAATTCTGTTCGTCACCGTTTGCACCTGGACTTCCGTCAAATTGGCAGCCCTTTAGCTTGCTTTGGTAACTATTCATGGTCCAAGCTTTCCCAGATTGCTGTTTTGCATGAGCGGTACAGTTCGAGCACTCATTTCCCCGGATGTTTATGTATTCAAAAGGCAAACACATAGAGCTATAGGTTCCAAATATGTTGACAACTTTCAGCTTGACGCGTGCGTAGTCGGTATACTGCAGACCCTCTGTTGGGAAGTTACAGGTTGCTCGGAAGTGTGTTGACTGATTAGCAATGGACCGCATCTGTGATAAGGACAGGCGGTACGAGCTCCAATCCACATCATTGTTAGCGTGATTCACTGGGAAATCAGCGCCAAACCCTTTGTTTTTAAACAGAGCGTTATTAGCCAAGGAAAACGATTGTATCAACGCCCAAACAAATTCTGACTCTGAATCCATGTCGCAGAAAACAGAAAACACTTGGTTCGCAGAATCAAAGATGATGTATTTTCCTGATTTCGAAGCTCCGTTCTTAGCAATATCTTTACAGGTTCTTGGATGTTTAATCTTTTCACGGGGGTAGGTACAGTTAAACCGTTTGCTGTGAGAGTCACAAATCTCCTGACATACCCCTCCGTTGACACAAGGATTGTCGCGGCAGCATCTGTTCGTACAGCCATGTTTTCCTGGAATGTATTTCCCTCCACCCTAACATACAAAACATGTATTGTTTATGTTTTTCGATACTGTTAGACTGCAAACTTCGAGGCTACTTTTGTAACAATAGAATGTTTCTGTCGAGGGCCTACTGATGGGCTGAAGAGTTTCAGCGGAAATTTTGTTACCTCAAATATTCAGTCCGGATGCGGAGTTCAAAGGACTTTTAGAGCATGAAATATCCAAGGGCAAATTTCAGCCCATCAGGCAATATTAAATCCTCTGTTGTCTTCGTTATTCACCACTTAATTCACAGGGAGCAGAGGAGTCTTATTCGACCGTATGTCCAGCTAACTTCACCGCACGGAAGAGAGGTCGATCTTGATGAAGCACATCATTATACGTTAATAATCGTTAATAAACAAAGCCTAACGCGATCGTGTTACGTTAATCAAGTTTTGAAAATTTATCCACACAATTCTAACTCGAAGAATGCTGAGCCGAAAATGGTTGTCTCTGGCTGATAAATCGATAAACAATTACAGCTCACCTTTATAATATAGCTCCTCACTAAGTCATAATAATTAACTCCTTGTTTCCATTTCAACGCTGCTGGCTCCAATTCTTTGTTAATAGTGTTAAGTTCACAGTTATTTTCTTTAAAGACAGGAAAATAATTCATGGATATGCACAAACAGTCATCTTTACACATCATGTGGCATTGGGCGGCGCTGTGGACTGTTGACCTTCTAAACACGTGACCCTCAAGGATGTGGTTATAGACGACATCTTCATCGACAAAAAATTTGAAGTCCTGGCAAATTACGTCGCTGTGCGCTTCAGTGAAGAGAGTCAGCTGCGATACCAAAAAGATAATTTGTAGAAAACGCCTGGCTTTCATAGTGGATCTACCAGAAGAGGATACAAAATGAGTTTAAGTTATGTGAAAATGATTTCCTAACTGTATGGACGTTTTTAAATTTGCCTTCGATTAAACCCTTTAAATGGGTAAACAGTAATCAAGGTCCAACGGAATTGACCGTTACGCATCGAAAAAGAGGATGAATATTACAATGTTTTAGAGGATCATTGCAGTTTTACCTGGTGATATAATTTTAAGCTAGTAATGAAAATACTGCACTCTGATTGATTGGATTATTGTCGCACAGTATTCAATGCTTAGTCAGGTAATAGTTGATGAGGCCCTCGGTCTCATCAACTTAATAGCTCACACTCTTCTCCTTCAGACCTTTAGATGAACATAGAAAGAGGTCACCCTCCCTATGTGGATTTCAGAATCTAATACTTGGATAGATGATAGTTGATGAGGCGTTCGGCCTTATCTGAACTCATAGCTCTCACTCTTCTCCCTCAGACCTTTAGATGAAGATAAAAAGAGTTCACCCTCCCTGTATGGATTTCAGTATTTAATACTTGGATAGATGATGGTTGATGAGGCCTTCTAGAGATCGAAAATATTGTACATTCACTTCTCTAGGCACCACTAGTTGCTAATGTATCGGGCCCATGGGCTGATAGTTGCCCCTGGAACTTTTATGTTGTAAAAAGCTACATATAAGGCCTCCAACATTGTTCTTTAGCCAATACATTAAATTTCATATTTGAAGATCTAGAAATCTTGTACTCGCCTATAGCCACCAGATGTTGATGCGCCTGCGTTTGGCTTGGGAATAGCTCCTATTTTCCCCACATTCCTCCCCTCCCCTCCCCCACTTTTTGGTTTTCCTGTCAGTCAGTTGTATAATCATTAGAGCCTTATTTGCTTTGTTGCGTTTTGTTAGTGACTAGTATCTCGTTGAAGCCTGGTAACGCTACACGGATGGCATGAATATCAATAGGAACCGAAAATTTAAACTTGATCTCCAATATTATTATATTACTAACTCTCCGCCAAGAAATGTGCGCCTTATGCGCCATATATTTACATGTATGCGCATTCAGTGATAAGAGTGATGGCCTGTTGCTATCTAAACAGCAAAGTTAAGCGCGTTTTCAGTAGAATCTGGTCGTGCTCTTGTTTCAAATTACTTAAAGGTCAAATGAACCAAAACTGAGACATTTTTTCTTTTTAATTTGAGCCCAATGTGTTCAGTAAGTATAAAATAAACAGATTCTGAAGTTTCAACGAAATGGACGAAGCATTGCGGAGATATTGGAATGTTAAAATCACTGTTTTCTAGCCTTCATAATCGTGGAGCAGTCGGGTAAATTGTCGGATAATTGTCGAAAATAAAAGTTGTGACGTCACTGTTGGTGAGCTCAAGAAATGCGGCAAATTTGAAACTGTTTTGGTTTCAAGTTCACAGTGAACTTCAGAGGAAAACCACTCAAAATCCAAAGTTAGCACTTTCAAGCAAGCTCACCCAGGAACCAAAATTCAAAAGAGAATGGCTTATAAAAATGAATAGGGAATACTTCACGTCCTCGAAGCAATTGCGCGTTTGTGCAGAACATTTAACCGAAGACAACTTTGAACAAAATCTTGCGGTAAGGAGTTTGCTGGGACCCTCTTTCAAGCTTCGTCAACTTGTACTTAAGAAAGACGCGATACCGACGATTCTTAACTTCACTATGAATCGTTGCAACCCGGCAATTGGACACAAAACGACGAAAAACAAGCGAATAATGCCCGCAGAACATTGGGCGAGCACCTCGGCCATTTCGCAAGTAAAATAAGGTTTGTATTTAGATCCAAAACCTTCCCCACGAACGACTCACTGACGCAGAAACGTAGCAATTTTCAAGACAACAGTGACGTCACAAAGCAGTCCCAGCTCCATTCCTTCCGTTAGAGTGAGCGGTCATTTTGGAAACGTTTTGCGTGAAGCCATCGGCTGTCTTTGTGCTTTTAACTTTTTGACTTCTTTCCACTGCTCAGAGAGAAAATTTTCTGCATAAGTTTCATTTTTTTCATTTCATTTTTTTTTAACATTTAGTCGGTATAAAATGGCTGAAGAAAATATGTCTAAATTTTGGTTCATTTGACCTTTAACGTGTAACGTGTTAAGCCCGCTTTTTGTGTGATGGTTTTGGGATTCAAATTATTCCAAATAGGAGGATTTTTGAATTATTCAACTTTTTTTTCTTAATGACCATTTTGTGTGTCTCCAGAGCATTATTCATAATGTTGTTAGTCAAAATATAGATTGTGTTGACAAGATGCGAATTTTCAATTCGCGTCATCCCCTGCACCTCCAAATGGAATTCGCTACGCGAACTTTGTTCCTCAAATACAAAAGGAATGCTCTGAATTTTGTAATAATTTTTACTCTTACAAAAGATATATGTAAAATACACTATTGTGTTGAATTCGATAGTACAACTTCATGAACAGTACAAAATCCAAACACATAGAAATATTGTGTAAACTTCTCTACAGCTGGACCTCGCTCGCCCAAAGAAGTGTGATAAAACGCCAAGATTTTCTTTCTGGAGGCATTCAGGAGTTAAAACTAGCATTTAAACATGTTTTTGGCGTGTCGGTTTTCCAGTAGAAAAAACAATCTTTTTAGTACGGTTCGGCTCTCTCTTTAAAATATGATATTTGTAGCGTTATTGCACTTTCCGAAATGACAAGGAGTCAGCGTCAGGACTGAGCTATTGTTTTTGCTCGCCGTTAATTGCATCACTAGTTGATAACGTTATAAAAGTGGTTATCATTATCACTTACGATAGTTTTCCTAGTAAGCAGTTTCTCTTTAACAAGTAAGCTCTTTGTAGAGAATTGGGCTTCGGTTTCATAGCCGTGTCCTGAAAGGCAAACCGTTACTCTGCAACCTGTGTTCTAAAAAGACAAATAAAAAAATATTAAGTGTCAAGTTAAAGTGACGTTTGGGGGACCGTTTTCTTGAAAAGCCACATTGTTTTATAGAAGTGATGTTGCTATGGAAATTTTTTTTTTCACTGTTCAAGAGAGAGGTCCTAAATTGAGAGTGCTGAAATCCCATCTACCAGAGCAGATATATTTTCGGCGGCGATTTCTTGGTGAAGCCCATTCTCGCAGCTATGAGACCTCAAATCTCGGCAATCAGTCAAACACGCATCATTTTACCACCAACAGTTACAGCTTCGTCCAATTTTCAGATATCAGTTATGTTTATTCGATATCCAAACCCTCTTGTCGGAGTATTGCTGTTTATCCACGTAGGGGCCAAACCACCCCCTAATGTTTCATGAAGGCTACATTTGCTTGGTTTATATATTTCTGAACCAAGTTTAGCAGATGAGCTTTCTTTGTTCTCCAGTTTATTTCAATTTGGAAGTTGTGACAAAATGTCAGATTATGACGTCGTAATTGATGACGTCACCAAAACGTGCTATAATTTTTGTAAAATCTGATAAAAAAGATTATGTTATTGGAAAGGCCTTGACTTGAGGAGTAAAATGCCGGAAACTGTTTTTTGCTATGATGATTATTTTTCGAGNTTTGTTTCTGAAATTGAATTACTCAGCCATACTAGTCTTTCTACTATGAAAGCGGTCCAGACTTAATACAGATTTCTTATTATTTTATTACAATACAACTAAGAACAATGAACACTTGACATTGTTTGTACTTTTTCTGGTGAAATATATAAAATGAACTTCAAGGCTCTTCAAATTGTGTGCCAAAGATTGGCAATTTCACAATGTAAAAGTAGTAAAAATGTAATATCAAGATCCCTCATTCTATATAATTAGATTCACAAAAACGTGCAATACATGTCGAGTTCATGGTTCAAGTGTCCTCACTGTAACATTCTTTCTGTCTGAAATTTCAACTCATGGTTCTGCCTTTTCTCCTAATCTGGTTGCACACCTCCATGTTTGATCTTTAGCGGGGAAGTGCCAGGAATTTCCACAACGCTGTACCACAGGATCAAATTTTTGCCTAAAAAAATGGAGTTTTCCTTGGCCATTACTTCGAAAAGATACACAGTTCAACCTTGTCCATCTCAAAAATGTCCACCACAAGTTGGACGGTAGTAGAAGACGGTGATCTCGGAGCCTGTCGTTGGTGACCACTTCCACCTGCTTCATTCCACTGAATGCCGCAGCATACAAAAGATAGAAATCATCATTTTTATACCTGTTTCTGAAAACAGCACAAACATCTTCAAGCTTGGTACGCAAGTCTTTGGTGCATCTCCGGATGAATATTTTGTTGTTTATTATGAGCAGCACTTTCTTTTGCTGGGTAGCAAAGTGATGTGCCGTCTCAATAAGCCTGTCGGCAGTGAATGTGAAACTAGTTGTTGTGCCATAAGCACCAACATTCATCCCATCTATTATCACATCAAATGGCCCCTGTTCATTAACAAACATCTTTAAATCTTCCAGCTCTTTCTGCATTTGTTTGTCCAAGGATTTTCCATGTCCATCAGAGCCATTCTGTTCAGGACTACTTGACAGCCTGATTATCTCGCTTTCCAGCTGATGTATATCACTCGGAGCTATGCCACTGGTCAGCTGATTTCCACAGCAGGAGCACATCCCTGTCTCACTGACACTGCTAGTGCACCACTTCCAGTGATAAACTGGGTCATGGTTAAACCGTGAATGAATAACCTGAAGCAATTTAACTGACAGCCTTTCACCAGCTTGTTCAAGATAATGAAACACTTTCTGCGACATTCTACCATACGTGTATACACCATCTTCTGATAGCTCTAGTCTATTCTTGGAGCTTTCTGATGTGCCCATCATACTGATATCTCCTTTAAATTGTTCATTTTCTTTAGATCTTACATTGTAAGGATTGAGCAGTGCAGCTATCATTTCCTTATCTATAGACAAAAATTTGTCAACCTTGCTTGCAAGAGAGCTTTGCTGCTTCTCCAATTTCTCCTCAAAAAGCTGCAAGGCTTGGTTTGTTAACCCACTGTTGGCCAGGCTTGTAATTACATAATCGTAGTGACGCATGTGATGGACTATATTGTCATTAGTAATGCTTCGTAGCATTTTAATAGCTTGATCAAACTGCCCTCGGCTGCAGTAAGACTTGATCATTGTAGTTTTAGCTCCCTCACCAATATAACTAGCGTTCTGTTTCATGTCTTGGTACAATCTCTCTACGGCTTCGTGTTCACCATGTTTTGCAAACATGTGAAGCAACTGCGAGTAACAACCATCCACTGCCCACGAATTCCCCCCATTCCTGCTCTCATCAAACAGCCGTAAAGCATCTGAAATGTTACCATTCGCTATGTGTTGTTTCATCTTCTCTTCGATGTGCATACTTCGGCCGTGCTCACTGGGTTCGCCGGAAACAGTCGCCTCAGAAGATAGACATGTTTTTAGCCACGTGTTTAGAACGGGAGCTCTCCAAATCGACCTTATACATCTCAATCGCATCATATCGTTTCTTTTCCGGGTAATTCCATAAAATCTATATGCTATATATCGTAATCCGCGAGTTTCATCTGATAAGAATAAGACAAAAATTATCCACAAAGCCCTAAACCTTCCTTTGCTTCTGTGACCTGTGACTTTTTACTGCAACTCTACGAAACTGCAAACATTTGTTCAGCGGCTTCTCAATTAGTGCCAGGTCTGGCTCAAATTCCAATGTGCTCCAGCAACGCCTGACCAAAAACTGTTCCTAGACCATGAAGTCGGGCAGCGTTCCGCTTACCTCGTGCGAAAGAGATTTTCTCCTTGAAACCATAAGATCTAGAAAGGTAAAGGGTGTTTGATCATTTCTTCGTTGTGCAATCTATTTCCCTTGTTCAAATGTATTGAGTGTTGAAGTTATTTTGCGGCTCTAAACAGCGTTTAGACGGACGAGAAACCTACGACTACAGAAAACTCAGAATTTCCTTCGGTGTGGACAGAGGGCACTGTGAAGTGCAGTTGGGCCGAACAAGGTACCGTGAAGCGCTTTTATTCTATTATTCGTTTGGATTGTATGCAATTTTGAGTACTTAAAACTAGTTCAGTTTTATTTTGCTTTATTGCACCGACCATGTGGTAGTGTGCTGATTGAGCCACTACATCTCCATGATGTATTGTTATCGTCCATATAAGCACATTACATGTTAGCTCAAGGATATGAATATTTTGTTCTCATGACAATAGCAACATCGCACTGGTCTACTGCGCTCACTCATGAGTTGGTGTTCTTGCCACTTGAACATAAAATTTACATCTTCTTGCCACCATGTAATATCCTCTAAATATATATATTTGTTTGTATAGGGTTCTAGGACAGGTATCATGTGAGGTGGCTCAACCTAAGCCTAACAGACCCACAGAGGGTCAGCTGTTTGTCAATGTTGAACTCTCACCCATGGCATCACCAGCATTTGAGTCAGGAAGGTTGGTTCAGTTTAATATAAGCATTACAACAGGGTTACTTGTCACTCTCCAGTGGCATCTTCAGAGACCCAAGGGCAGTTAGTCAGAATGACGTGATATTTATGGGTGAGCAATATTTTCGGGTGAAAGTTTTTTTTTGCATGCCTGTAAATATTGCCTGATCCCAACTAACCGTCCCTGGGTCTCCAAGGATGTCTCCAGTGATGGCTGGTGATTTTAATATCTCTTAACCTGGAATTCCGAGGAGTTATATATATATGAGCATTTAATTTCTCCTCACAAACTACATCAGCTTGTTTTCCCATATACTGGGAGTTATTATCAGGTGGGGTAATTGCGATGTTGAACTGCCTATCAGTGCAACGCTAAAGTAATTAGTTTTAAATAGTCTAATTCCAACTAAAGCAAGTAGTTAGCTATAATTTGTCTAACTTCAAACTTGTAACCTGCCTTACTCTCTTACTTTCAGAACAACAGAATTCAGTACTGAACTAAACCGGTTTATGGAGAGATGTTTTGTTGAGTCCCGAGCTATTGATGTTGAGTCTCTATGCATTGTTGCTGGTGAAAAGGTTTAAATTTCATGCATTTAGTCTATCTGGGAAGTAAATGATTCCTTCTTGACTAAGATAGTTACCATCACTTGAGAAACTCTGTTTGGATACTGGATGAGCACTATGGTGAACATGAGCTGTAGACATGCTTAGATGGAAGATACTATACCCACACCATACCCACCCCATGAAATGCCCAGGAGGTGGGGGACAGGTTCAAAAATCCAAAATTTTTAAAAGGCAAGTATGAAGCTGAAGGGGGAGGGGTGGGTGAGGTAGATTGGCTCAAAACCAAACACCTTCAAAAGCATAGGTTAATGGATATTCTCGCAATCAAAACTCTTTGAAGTCTCAGTTTCACAACTGGAGAAGTCAAAATGTCTTGGGCTCTCAAAGAAAAACGCAAGTCTTGTTTTTTGCAAATCTCACATTTATCATTCACCACCCCTAAAGAGATATATCTGTTTGTAAACTTAGACTGTTAGCCGAAAAAGCTCCCACCTCAGTATTCATTTTTTGACATTGTATTTTTTAGGTCTGGTCAGTAAGAGTTGATCTACATGTTTTGGACAATGGTGGTAATATCGCAGATTGTGCAAGTATTGCGGCAATCACAGCCTTAGCTCACTTTAGGTACATGTTAGAAACTAATATTTGATAAAATTAACTTACAGGTACCTACATGTAGAGTCCCTGGTTGTTGACATATTTGGTCATATTGTACTACTGTGCAATAGTGCTTGACATAAAATTATAGCTATTACTAATTTATTATTAATTATTATCTTTGCTCCATAAGGCGGCCAGATGTTACGGTCATAGGTGAAGAGGTCACCATTGTAAGTTCATTTATATTTGGCATTCACGAGAGTATTGATTTCATACTTCATTACACATTCTGGAATTCACAGCTACATGTATTTGCAGAACTGGGTGACCAGTTTAATCTGTGAAACTTGTAACAGTGTTTCATCAAATTTCCAAACATCTTAAAGTTTGTCAAAAATACTGTGTTGCACATTGTATGCAACTCTCTTCTCAGTTTTTTGATATATGTGATTTTCAAACATGACTGTGGCTTGTGTTTGATTTGTTACATCACCAGCACTCCCCAGAGGACCGTGACCCAGTCCCTTTGAGCATTCTTCACATGCCTGTCTGTATAACATTTGGATTTTTTGACGAAGGGTAGGTCAACATGCAATCTTTGTTGTACACCTCAGGTTCAATTACATGTCCTTGTTTAGAAACCTTGAAACAAATCTTTTCTGAGTAGCTTCTGTGGCTGAGTCTGACTGACATCTTTCTCAATGTTACTACCTTTGAATTCTAGCCAGCTGTTGCTCGTAGATCCAACAGATAAGGAAGAAATTATAATGAATGGTAGGATGATCATGGCAATGAATATTCATCGTGAAATCTGTGGCGCTGTAATGGGTGGTGGTGTGTCATTAGAATCTGACCAGGTACATGAACTACCAGAAATAATGTTAATATTCAACACAGAAAATATACCCTTGTGCTAATGTCTTTAACTTGTATTAAGTTTTTTAATAACATTGTTTGAAGAGCACTGAGCACAGTTTAATGACATGTGCTCCCAGAAAATGTAGGAAGTGTTGTATATATTATGATAATGGCGCATGAATATTTCGCACGACATTTTCAGCTGCTGAGTGCAGTTGTTTGTCTCAAAGATACAAGATCCTCTACTGTTATGTAGATTGACTAGCAATGTTGCTATAATTTAATTATGATAATGTAATTATGATAATTCATCTTGATTCCTGACTGGTTTGTTGATTTACTGCCCGATGTTATTGGTTTCTTGCAACTTTCTTACCTTTGTTCAAGACACTTAACTCTGACTCACAGTGCCTCTCCTCATCCAGGTGTGTTAAATTAATGGGAAGTGGCATATTCAACACTTGGGGGGAAGTTTGTAGCTCTCAACTCTGTTCTGTCAATGTCTCTTTCTGTTATTGAATGATTGTGGCACTTTTTCAGATCATCAGGTGTTCCAAGATTGCATCAGTCAAAGTTTCAGAAATTGTTGCCCTTATACAAGAGGCACTGGAAGAGGACACTAAACAAAGGTAAAATAGAAGTTCCTGGTAACATTGCCGGGCCAATGTCTCTTCATCCCAATGCTTAGTACATACCTGCTCCGTTAATGTTACATGTAATGTTGCACAAAGAAGACAATGTCACTATTTGAACTTGCCAATATTATTGTACAAATGGGTGTAGGATGAAATGGATGCCAGACATGTAAAGAGGATAGAAGAAATTAGGATGATTGCCAATCTTGAGACCATTGATGTCAAAAATTTGTGCTTGAACATCTGTCAGTGGTTTCAAAATTGGCTGTCATACTAATTTCATTTGCATCTTTTTGCCACTTTGTGGTCTTAGAAAAAAGATCCAGACCAACCCACTGAGGGTTACTGGAAATTAAGATGAAGTGGGGGAGGGTCTCAAAGTAAGCTAAAGAGTGGAACATAACTTACAGCAAAATAAGAGCTGTCAGTGGTAGATTGATGACTGAATAATCATTTTCCTGTTCATAAATTGGCTTAACAGGGTGCAAAGAAATCCAATATTTGGACTTGACCTTCGGGCATGCTGTAACTATGATGTACAAGCCCAAAAGTCATTCTCACTAGCTTCCCTACATTGTATCCTGTTAGTGAAATCTGGCCCAACCCATGCCAGTGAAAACTCCATTCTAACTTCAGGCAACCATGCCTCTACGATAATCTATTGGCAACTGGTGCATGGACAGTAAAACTAATGAAGACGCGTTGTAGTTTAATTTTCTGACAAGATACAAGAGGCATCAACACTTTATGATCTAAACATATTTTCTTTAATTGACTAGAGCTGTTGGAAAGACAGGATTAATAGAATCAGACATGAAACCTTCCATTGTTACTGTGACTTCAGCTGATGAGTCTGATGTGGACATTACTGAAGCAGTAGAGAAATCAGCAGGTACATATTAATCATCTATCCTGTTGGCTCCTAGTTTAGACTAAGTGCAGTCCTCTCTTCAAATTGTCCCTCAAATTGTCCAGAGAGAAGTGCAAAAAGACTTAAGGATAGGATAGGATAGGATAGGATAGGATAGGATAGGGTAGGGTAGGGTAGGGTAGGGTAGGGTGGGGTAGGTAGGGTGTGGTGGAGTGGGGTAGGGTGGGATGGGGTAGGGTAGATTATGACATCATGTGAGACCTGACAGCTGCCAATAGGCCACATTCGACATATCAATATTCTAACATGGCTCCAAGGCTTTCAGGACAAACCTCTATAGGTTGGTGGTGTTTTCTATGTATCCAAGTCTCTTTTGGGAATTGTGAGACAAAAGAAACTTAAAAAAATTTGCAATTTTGACCTGAAAACCTTGGATTCATGTTAGAATACAGATACATCACATGTTGCCTATTAAACCTGGTCATCCGAAAACAAAATTGTGGCTCGCAAGTTTGTTATCTGACAATAAACTAGACTTTTTTTATTGCAGATCAGCAATCTAGTGAGATGCCAGAAGAATCGTATCCTTTAGAAACTTTCTTTAACTCCAAGGTTGTGTTTTTCATAATCGATTTTATTAGTCATGATCCTGACTTCTAATGGGTTTCTTAATCTCTTGAATACTGTTTTTCAAAATGAAACCATTACCTTTGGAAGTGCATTTCAAGACCATCTTGAAACTGAAGATATTGACTAATTCATACCAAAAGAAAATCACTTCATTTTGCAGTTTATGTAAATCACTTCCTTGACAAAAATCTCTTTTTACAGTCCATGGGTAGTGGAATTAAAGGTAATCTTGCACAATTATTTAGTAGGTAATTTATATTAATCTATTTAGTCACAAAAGAATTGAAGAAAAAACCTTTGCTGAACCACCAACTTCTAATGGAAGGAACTGACTTGTCCAACTAAAAAAATTGGGGATTTTTCTCAAGGGGGGACCCCATATTTTGCAGAGTTATTTTTCATATTTAAAAATGCCATATTTGATTTAATTTTTGTGATATGGACAAAATTTTTTCACGTTTCGACTCCCCTTGATGTGCTCTTTCGAACACATTGTAAAAAATATGCATATTAAAAACTTCAAAAGTGGCAAAAAACATGACGTCATCACTGTGACGTCACAACTTTGACATTTACTGACATTTTTCACGTAAATATAATTGGCAATAGGTCTCCTGTTCATCTGCCAAGTTTAGTGTAGAAAGAGTCAATACTTTTTAAGTAATGTGAAATAATGCGAAATACCCAAGAACTGACGAAACATTTGGGGGGTGGTTTGGCCCCTACGTGATCGGAAATAGCCACTTTCTAACAATACATTAATGAATAACTTAAGTTCTCAGACTGAAGGTACTATTTGCTACTGCTCACAATTACTATTCAAGCTCTGCAGATGCATTACATGGATATTGCATGACGGTTAACTTTGCCAGTTGGCATTGTTTTATGAAATGTTGACAATTTTTTTACCGTTTTGACAACGTTTTTCATGGCTTTCAATTAAACAAACAAATCAATATGCAAGAACTGTAAAAGACGGAAATGTTATTTTTTTAAAGAGAGCAAATGTGAAGGTTTGACAACTCCGCCTCCCACAGCTTTTATATTTTGATTGGCCTTTTCAAACCGGGAAGATTTCAAAAAAAAGTTGTCAACAATATGTCAACTTTCTCACGTAGCAATTAAAAGTACTGTAGTCCTCACTGTAATAAGCGAGAAAAATAAGCAAAAAAAAAAAAAAAAAAAAGCAAAACAGCTTACGCCAACTGACGTGTCAAGAAAACAGTTTCTCCAGTACACTGTAGATGCAAAGTTGTGTGGAAATGGTGTCGTTCATATGCTATGCATGACTTGTTTACTCACCTTTAAATACGTAACGGAATGGCTTAATGGTTATTTGAAAAATGATCTTTGAGGAGGCTTCAGTGAAAAATGTCCCTTGCAAACCATTGCCATTAAAACACTTTAGAAGCCGAGGGAATTTCTATGCCTGTTTTTGCTCCCATCAAATAGCCGTAAATTTTCAATACACTCGTGGCAAGGAATTTTAATTTTTTAAAATGTTTATTCGCACAACCAAACAGTATCTTACCGAAATACGTCGGGATATTATATAACATGACAAGTGTAAATCTAGTTGTAAATTAAGTGCACGTCGTCAAAGCCCGACTCAAAATTAGCCTGACATGCTAGCGTTCGAACAGGTTAAAAACAGCGCACTACTAGTCTATATTAATTTAGCTAGGCAACCTTAATACTTTGTAGTTATTTACAAGAAATTTAGGTGCATCTTCACTTCTTGTGTGTGCATTATTTTAGGGCTGTACTGTACACAAAAAGCTTAAAATTATTACTTTTTAAAATTTTCAATAACCATATCATCGACGATAAGTCAATGATTAGCTAATGAGCGTGCGATTGCGGACCATTGTAGAATACAAGGCAAAAAAAAAAGTAATGATTTTCTACGAGAGAACTGGAAGCAGATTTTCTTTACTGGTCTTTGAATACGAAAATCAATTAGTAAACAAATAAAATGGAAATCTAGGGTGCCCGTAATTTTGTACGAAGCATTTTTTGTTAACGTTGTCCTTAAGATTGCCAGTTTAAGTTCATTGTTATAGTAACTATTAACGTACAGCTCAGTGTTCTTAAGCGAAGGAAGATAGGTAAAAGATCCGCAATTCAGTTTGGTGAATTTCAAAAGCACCTTAGGCGGTCGTTTTCTTTCTTTGGAATTATTCTTGGAAAGCTCTCGTGACAAATGAATATTTTATTGGCTTCTTTTCATCTATAAAATATCAATCTGCTCATCGATGAAAAGCCAAACGGCCACATTACTAGATCAAACTGACTTTAAATGCATTCCACGTTATGTCACTATGACGAAACTCCATCAACGATTTTGTGAAAGCTTTCAGTGTAAAAAATGTGTTATATATTATCGAAACATTACATCTAATCGCATGCTAGATGTCCACTAGTTAAGCTTTTAATTTCAGTATCAACAAACCAAAATTAAGAAAACTTTTAAAACCTTCCCTTCGCTGATGGTCAAGATAAATAATAGGACTAGTTGCTGTATCAATATAGCACCTGCCTTGGGGCTAAGAGGCTGAATTTCGCTAGTTGCTTCCATTAAAAATATCAAGGTCTGAGAATCAAACATTATTTCACTTACCCGTTGATAAAACCACAGAACAGTGCTCTATAAGATCTTTCGACAAATTTCACGGACAAAATTATTTTGACTTGTCACTTGGTTTGTTGAATACCTTCAGAAACGCACGCCTTTTCACATGGATCGACACACACCTTTTACGACGATAACAAACATTATCTTTTTCTCAACACGTGAGCGGGCAGAATTCAACAAATCCAGCAATCTGATCGGTTCCTGGGGCGGGCTGAATTTTCTCAAACGGACCGCCACAGCGGGCGGAATCCGTCATGTTGATCTATTGTTGTAAACGAATTAGCGGTAATCGTCAATCGTTCGGCCTTTTTATCCTTCCTTAGACGATTGATCAACGCAAGTTTATCCCTATTCACCTTTAAATGGCAAGGAAAGTCACTGTGAGTAAATTGAGTTTTTTGAAGTTGTGAGAGGTTGTTTGGCTGTTTGTTGTAGCTTTAGTTGTCCTCAAGATTGTCGATGTAGTTGTAGTTTTTTTGTTGTTAACGAAATACGTCACGATATTATATAAATAGCAGGCGTAAATTTAGCTGTAAATGAAGTGCCGTCAAAGCCCAGCTAAAAATTATCCCGATTTTCTAGCGTTAGAACAGTTTATAAACAGTGCATTCCTAGTCTGTATTAATTTAGCTAGAAAACCGTAATACTTTGTAGTTATTTAAAAAAAAAAAATTAGGTGCAGCTACATTTATAGCACGTGCATTATTTTAGGACTGTACTGTACACAACAAGCTAAAAATTATCACTTTTTAAAATTTTCAATATCCATATCATCGACGAAAAATCAATGATTAGCTAATGAGCGTGCGACTGACGTGACGTGACGTGACGTGAGAGTTGTAGAGTTCAAGGCAAAAAAAAAGTAATGATTTTCTACGAGGGAACTGGACGCAGATTTTCTTTACTGGTCTTTGAATACGAAAATTAATTAGTAAACAAATAAAATGGAAAGCTAGGAAGCCCGTACTTTTGTACGAAGTATTTTTTGTCGTCCTTAAGATTGCCAGTTCGAGTTCATTGCCGTACTAACTATATACGTAGAGCTGTTCTCAAATGAAGGTAGAGAGGTAAAAGATTTGCAATTCAGTGTGGTGAATTTCAAAAGCTCCTTAGGAGGTCGTTTTCTTTTCCCAAGTAGTGTAATACTCTGCTTTACAGATTACTGATGACGATGCCGGTTCTGAAATTAACTTTCGAATGCTCTCATGACAAATGAATATTTTATGAGCGTCGATATTTTCCCCTTTAAAATAGTAATCTCCTCATAGATGAAATGCCAAACGACCACATTACTAATTCAAGCTGACTTTGAATGCATTCCACGTTAATCTCACTATGGCGAAACTTTTTCCATCAACGATTTTGTGAAAGCTTTCACTGTAAAAATGTGTTACACATCATCAAAACATTACATGTAATGGCAAATCCTTATAGAATCATTCTAGTACCTTCAACATGGTAGTCACCCACTAGTTAAGCTTGTAATTTCAGTATCAACAAACTAAAATTATACTGAGAAATTTCAATCTTTACATCGCCGAGGATCAAGATAAAAGGACTAGTGTCTAAAATTTGTCTACAAGTTAAGCTAAATTTTCTGATTCCAGAAATTCAAAACTTGCCGCCTGTTCCAGAGAATATCATAACGTAGTGTTATGGTGAATTTGTAGTTCCAGCTGGTTCGTAGAAGCTGGTCAAAAGACTAAAATCAAGAGGAATAAGGAAACCCAAACAAAGCACGATAAGCAACGAAAATGCGAAGGGTTCGCACTCTCATTTCAAATACCTCTCGGGCTCGCAATTAAAGAAAAAACATTAGCCTCGCATTTGCGTTTCGCTAACCTTCTATTAATATACCTCAGATGTTAGTAACGTTATAGTTGTGTTGTAAAGTCTTCGATACAGATGTTGATCGTTTTTGACTGAATATTGGGCGGATTTTAATAAAAAAGATTGCACCCGACTACCCAAAAAAAGACCTATTTCGATTATCAGTGCAGAGAAACCTGGCTAACGAATAATATGCTCGGCAGTTTTGTATGCCCTTACAAATACTATGTCACAAGCAGCTCGTATTATTTATTGATGTTATCACATCACATTGAAGCTTGCAACGATTATAAACCAGTAGGCGTCTAACTACACTAAGCAAACAATTAAATAAAACCATAACTGGTTTTCGTTTACGAGTACAACTTGCTTTTGTATTGCTTAGCTGAAATATGTGGCTTGTAATCTTTATCTGTTCATATTCGGACATTGAAGGATATATATCGAGAAAATTGAAGAAAAAAAAGAGTCATTTTATCCCACGATCAAGCCAGGCTTTTATGCCTACCCTATTGAATCCCTTTAAGAGTTTGGAGGAAATGTTGAGCGACAGGGAAGAAAACAAAAGCTAAAATACTGGCGAGGAAAAATTGCCTGATCGCAGGCCTTCGAAACACCTGCCGTCAAATGAAAAGGAGGCATGATAGAGGGAGGTTGAATGTTGTCGTTTTATGTCCAAGTCATGAACACGTCAAGCATGTTCTAGTTTCTAAAACGAATCACGGAAAGATATATTATAAGTAATATACAGTAAGCAGTTCTAACGTTTTTTGGGGAAATATGTCGTCTACCAAAGGAAATAATAATCCTTATAATCCCTTATTCGACAGAAGCTTTTATCATGGCCAATTACTCAGGAGTAATTCCCCAGCAATGCGAGTACAGACTAATGCAAATTGGCCTGATTTAGACTTACAGCTAAATCTGCTATCTACATGCAGCACATCCTTAGCCTTTAGTTTTATGGAAGCTGTTCTCAACTGGTATTTTATCTTGATGTGTTTCGATATCTATGCTTCCCAAAATTTCGGAGATCAAGAGCAATATATTGCTGGCGGGAAACATTTAATATGTCTTATTCGTGAATAAAATAAAACCAATAAGGACATGAATTTAGAACACTGATAGTATCAACTCACCAGCTTTACAGGCAATGGAACTCTAGAATGATATTATTTGCTGAAAAATTCAATAGAGATGATGTTAGAAACTTTCCAAACACTGCCTTTCAAAATGAAACAGGTATTAACAAACAATTAACATTCCTGAATAATAAGTTGTATTATTTACAGTTTAATGTTTTCTTTACGTCGTCACCATAGATTACAATGTTTCGCGCAAGAAAAAGTAAGCTGGCCAATAGCTTTTACATTTTGAAATCAAAATATCTTCTAAATAACACCAACTTAAAATATTTATCGTGAATAGCCTCACCTAGCAGTGACTAAACTGTTTGAATCATTCCCAATAAAAAAGACCCTGGGGATAGGAACCTATTAACACAGAGCTTTGGCAGTCAAAACAAGGAATTAGGTATTTTCGTTAACGCGCTCATCTTCTAAAAGTAATTATACAAAGGTTAGTACCCGCTTTACCTCATGGCAACCGTCGTTATTTTCAGTTATTCCACTATTGCTAAATCAGTTTTGTTTGAAATCACACACGTTGCTGCAGAAGCTCATATTATAAACGAATTAAATTGGAAAGAAAAGACATCAGTTTTGTTGATGGGTTAAATCCACCGATGTAAGAAAGGAAAAATGTGTCTTATAACTAAGCAAATACTGAAGCCTTAAGTTCGTCCTCGCTCTCCAAACCAAGCTTTCACTCCGTTTGATAGAAGCGTTTTACATGCGTATTAATCCTTACCTGTTCTTACTATATTTTAAGGAAAACGACCAATTTTTTAAGTTTGCAAGACATGTTTCGACAGAGCTTCTGTCATCTTCAGTTGAATGAATGATTACAAAGCAAGTTG